GAGAGTATATATTCATGGAGAAAAGTAAATAAGGCGAACATACACACGCACACATCAAGATATCATTATCCCTCGGGGATGCCGTGTATGTGTATGTGTGTGAAAGAGAAATAGAGATTGAATTTCCTTTTTCTATCTTTCGTGCTTCAATTGTCTTCTTATATATTACCCTTTTTTTAGTGACTGGTTGTTGTTTGTTAAGATTGTCACTAGTCATATCATTAATAGCATTTAATTTTCGTTTACGTGATGATGTCTTGGTAGTTTTCACTTTAACTTCGACCGTTGTTGTCATCGTTGTCGTTAACAATGTACTATCGTTCTCATGATCATTTAAAGCTAAATCTTGTTTATGACAACCGTTGACATTGTTTTCCGGTTCATCATAGTGATTATTATTGATATCATCAAACTTGTCTGCCGATGGAATCTTAACTAAATCCGTCTTATGATGTCGTGTTATTGAAGAACGTAAACGTTTATCAGAATCTGCTTGTATTATGGGCGAATTAAGCATTATTATCTTAGATAAAAAATAATAATCATCTAAAATAATCATAAAAAAATGATTTTCAAATACAAAAGTAACAGCTGGACTTTTCATGCTGACTCCTCTATACATATACAGTACAAATGATTGCCTTTGCTTTCTCTTCTCCCCTTCTGTATGTGTGTACGTCTCTCTTTCTCCTCGCGTCTCTTTCGCCGCCACTAATGCAAAAGAATAGCCACTTTACACACACACACTTTTTCTGCTCTCTTTTTTTCCTTCAACACAAACATAATTTATAGATCTACTCGCCCTTTGCGCTCTCTTTCTTTCTTCCATACGTATTTAACGCTTGTCGAACACTTGAGTGTGTACAATTACAGATTCGCTAGACCTTTATGTCGTCTATCATGTGATAGTATATATACATATACGATGAACTCACCTCCTCCTTCTTCTTCTTCTCCACTTCGTTCATTCACTTACCGCAATCAATACTTACACATATAATAACTAATAAAAAAATCGAAGAAAAAAAATCATCAAACGACGCGGATGATTAGAATAACAATCGACATCAAGTACAACGAATGTACGAGAGAACATAACAACTGAGAATTCACTTAGAATCGAAAGAATGAACAAATAAGAATGAAAACTCTCTTATTCTTTCTTAAGTAAGCTCTATTGTTAAAAGGCATAGTGTCGCGCAACTTCGATGTATATAAGTAGACATCGAACAAATATTGAATTTCAATCTTATCCTTTCCTATTACCAACTGAATAAGACATGTATTACTCTTCTCATT